GCTAGCTATAGCTAGGGTTAAGTCTAGGTGTCTAGCCAGTGTTGGTGAGACAATGATGCCATCAGTGACAAGGAATAAGACCTCTTTTTCTATGTCCTTGTTCTAGCGATGTTGTTTGGTATTGACGGATGATGTGTGCGCTTTTGTTAGGTTAGAACTTGGGCCTCATTTTTGTCCTTGTTTTCCCGTCTAGGTGACTGGCAGTGTCATGCGGAGGGGATGGCACAGTGGCATGATTTTCTTCCCCGTTTCCTTCTCCATCTAACGAAGCTCAACTAAATGCGGCTCCATCCCAAAATTTAGGAGGTTTGTACCCCCCCTTCTCCGTCTGACAAAATTTGTGATTATCTTCTACCCCTCCTTGGTGCCAAACTCTCTCAGATGGCGATCACAATCTAGACATATCCGCTACTTTACCAAGCTCATTATAAAATTATCCCGAACTACTACTGAAGCTCTTTAGTTCGTGATTGTCGGCTGTCTATATCGACGAATTCCGATCCACTACTTTTTCAAGCTTTTGAGTTTCAACAAGGTTGCTTTCGTAAGATGAAGCCCAGCCGGTGGATGCAAAAGGAAAACATTGTTTATTTAATCAAGAATTTGGCATAATTTTCTATTCTTCAAAGAGTGATTTCGGAAGGGTTGTTTTTATGTACTCCCTCCGTTCCATATTACTTATCACTCAAACGGATGTATCCAGCACTGAAATTTGTCTAGATGCATCTATTTAAGCGACAAGTAATATGGATTGGAGGGAGTAAATATATATTGTTTGAGTGTCTCTACGAAAATTATAATGATCAAAACAATACTTATTATACACATTGTTTTTTAGCGGGAGGTGACGTCTCGACGGGCAGCGAGACGACTCTGACGACTTCACTGTAATCTCAGTAGTTCTCAATAGCCCATACGGAGCATGTATTTATGATAATGTGCATCCATGTTACAGAATATTTATTTAGTGTTTTTTTTAATATATTTATTTAGTGTTTCTATAGAAGACTAATCCCTCGGTTCACAAATATAAGATGTTTTAACTTTTTTTTAATCAAATGTATGCAGACTATATTGAAATATTCAAAACATTTTATATTTGTGAATGGAGGGAGTATTTTTTTAATTTATTGCATACTATGAACTAATGCTTTTTTAGCATATACTGTACTGAAGGATTCAAAAGATACCAGGTGAGACGGCATTTTTTGTACCTGTCCAGCCTTGTGTCATGTCAAACCCTATATCGAATATTGGCATACATTAGACTATGAGCAATCCCAATCAAAATAGTTTTAAATTTCTTGTTGAAACCATAAAAGGCGCCCCTTTTCTGTAACCATCCCCCGCTTTAGCTCGACAAAATGACAGCGCAACTACCTCAGCTCGGCTCAACTGGCCACCAGCAAACTGCCTCGCCAAGAACACTTCAACCGCCATTATAATATTCACGAAATTTGCCCTCCCGAGCTGCCCTTTTGCTCCACGCCTCTCCGCTCTCCGGTTTTGACTCGCCATCCATCCCCTCTCCCCGGCTCCCCCCCAAAGATTTTCACTTTCCACGCCGGGGAGATCAGCACGGTCCAAAGATCGCCGGGGTTTCTTGGCCGGCATTTTCTGACGGCCGGGCGAGATGAGCTGCTTCCCGTGCTCGGGGTCCTCGGGGAAGGCCGGGGAGGACGCGGCGGCGCTCTCGCCGTCGCCCCGGCCGTCGGCGGCGAAGCCGGCGCCAGGTAACGCCCGCATCTTGACTTGACTTGTCCAGTTTCTGCGCAGACCGGAAGGACTGATCTTTTGGTCATTCTGATTCCTGTCATGTCCGTTCAGATGTCTGATGATTTTTAGTGATTTCTCAGCATTGATTCAGGCATAAAAAGGTTATTGTTCCCTGACGGTACAAGAGGCCTAGCTGATCCCTAATTGCCATGTTTTTAGAACACCTAATTGCCAATTGGTTGGGGCCTTGGGGGCGGTTGAGTCGTTGAGGTGGACATGGATCTGTGCTTAACTGTAGCATCTTGATTTATCGGGCCGGGACTAAGCGAATTAGTTTTGTATATTTTGATTCCTTGCATGTAGAAGAGTATATTTGATTCTATCGCGGTAGATGATTCATTCATTTATTCAGATATGCAGATGTTAGTCTGAATTCTTGCTGAGGTAGTGGTGGTGAAGGGGACACACAAAAGAACTATTTCTTGGCAGAAAATTGTATTTGTTTTTTTTTCTGAACTCATGTTGCGTGAAAGGGAGAGAAATGTCTGATGTGAAGTTTGCGGTTGCAGTGATTTTGCTACCAAACTTCCTGTCTGAAGCAACCGAAGAAACAAATATTTGATGTGTTGTTTACACTTGTTGTCTCTGACTTACTCTTTGGGGTGGCTATTCGGTTGCTTCGAGCTTGCTTGAATTAGATTTCACCCTTTGTTTGGTTGTTGGGGCCGATGAAGAGTTTGAAGCGAGCGCCACAGTTTAGTTTTTAGCTGCTGCCTGCTAGAACATGCAAGTCCGATCCCTGATTAGAAGTACACACGATCTTGTATATTTGTTTGTCCTTGTGGCTGCTGCAATTTCTCATCTACCTGCACCCAGAAGTATTTTACATCACATAATAATTATCTAAAACCGATTTAGATGTTGTTTGCTCACTGAAGGGTGGTACAAGAGATCTATGTTTGATTAATTCTTTTCTTCAGTGTACAGTGGTACTGTTATGCAGCAATAACAGATGTGTTTCTCTAATGCTAGTAAAATTTCTCATGAGGTGATACGATACGAGTTTTCATTGTACATATCTGCTTGGTGTTTAAACTTGAAATTAAATAACTATAAGGCCCATAAAGTGTCGGTGATAGTAGTACCTTTTTTATATCATTATAAAAATGGTCTGCTGTTAATGGGATGCTCATGATCGTGAAGGTATTTATATTGGAGCTACCTAGGATAGCTTTGTTCTGTACTGACTGTACATCACTTCAACAACTCAAAAGAGTAGTATCTTGCACTTCAATTCAACTTATGCCACCAACTTGATGACATTAAGTGTAAATGGCAGTTCTGGACGAGTTAGGGAAGTAGAGTATTCGACAATAGATGTGAATGCGCCAACGGGTCTTCAGGTCATCAAATGTTAGATATGTATTATAGCTGTTTATGCGTCATGGTCCATTCTTTAGGTCCTTGCCTTTTATATTTCCTGGACTATATGATATTTGCATTCAAGAAAGCTTATAATTGAGGAACTATATGCTAATGTTTTTCTGGTGGGTGGGTCCAGATCGATACAATTCTCGTAGTTCAAGCTCTGTTCGCAGAGGAGGAAGTGCTCCACATGGCCCGGCAAAGATTTTCACTTTCCGAGAGCTAGCTATTGCTACCAAGAATTTCAGAAAAGATTGTTTGTTGGGTGAAGGTGGTTTTGGTCGTGTCTATAAAGGACACATGGAGAATGGACAGGTTTGTTATCTCTAGCCTTGTAAACTTTATTTCCCTTTTCTGTTAAAAAGAGCAACGGATGTTATCTTTCATGTACTGCAACTTAAGAGATAATTTATTGGTAATTTCCATGACGTTACCCATTTTGCCTGTGTCATTTAGCAGGTTATTGCTGTGAAGCAACTCGACAGAAACGGTTTCCAAGGAAATCGTGAATTTCTTGTGGAGGTTCTCATGCTAAGCCTCTTGCACCATCCCAATCTTGTCAGATTAATTGGCTATTGCGCAGATGGTGATCAGCGCCTCCTCGTTTATGAGTATATGTTATTGGGATCGTTAGAAAATCATCTGCATGGTATGCTTCTCATTGTATGGTTTCCTGTCCTATAAAAATAATTCTCAGTGGTTGATTGCAATTGGTATTTTTACATATTACCAGTATCTTGATATTTACTCCCTCCGTTCCGATTTACTCGTCGTGGTTTTAGTTCAAATTTGAACTAAAACCACGACGAGTAAATCAGAACGGAGGGAGTAGTTGGCTTGAGCTTCATAAAGAACATGCAAGAGCAACAACTTCTATACATGTATAGGTGTGGTAAATATGCAAAAAAAAAAAACCCTTATACGATGAGGATATCACATGGCTAACATATACAACTCTATAAAAACAGATAGTGGTCCTATTATTTCAGCTCCCTTAAGGGCCAAATCACAAACAATTTCAGCTTCAGTTTCAGAATTTTCAACTTGATTTATTACCAGTTACATTTGACATCTTAGTTATTCGCCATCCGAAACCTTTTCTAGAACCCTTAAGAAAAAATATACACGTTGTTCATCCCCTCAACAAGAAATTGTCATCCATATTTCTTCTTTTGTACTAACTCATGGATCGCTCTCTGGACAGACCGCCCACCAGACAGGGAGCCCCTTGATTGGAATGCAAGGATGAGGATAGCTGTCGGTGCAGCGAAAGGTTTGGAGTACCTGCATGATAAGGCAAATCCACCGGTCATATATAGAGATTTCAAACCATCAAATATTCTTCTGAGCGAAGATTATTACCCGAAGCTGTCTGACTTTGGGCTTGCTAAACTTGGCCCTGTTGGTGAAAACACTCATGTATCAACAAGAGTTATGGGAACGTATGGCTATTGCGCTCCTGAATATGCGATGACAGGGCAGTTGACAGTAAAGTCTGATGTTTACAGTTTTGGTGTTGTGTTCCTTGAACTTGTTACAGGTCGGAGAGCCATTGATCACACCAAGCCTGATGGGGAGTCAAATCTTGTTGCATGGGTACGCTCAACCGCACTAAGTTACCTCCCATCAGTTTTAGTGTAGAGGAGATGGACATTTTTCTCATTTCTTCATAGGTGCCAAGTGTCTGATCCATATAAATTGCAGGCTCGCCCGATGTTCAGAGACCGTCGAAAGTTCTGCCAGATGGCCGACCCGTTGCTGCAAGGCCGGTATCCCAAGAGGGGTTTGTACCAGGCTTTAGCCGTTGCAGCAATGTGTTTGCAGGAGAAAGCGGCGTCCCGGCCCCTCATAGGGGACATTGTCACTGCACTTTCTTATCTAGCTTCCCAACATTATGATCCGAAAAGCTGTAGGACCTGCCCGTCTACCCCAAGGGCGAAAGCACACCGACGGACAACCAGTTGTGTTCCTGATGCTCAACGTGCAGCTGACACGCTTAACTGGGACGCCGTGGACTTGAGGAGAAAGGAGGCTAGAGGAGGGGAGTTTGAAGAGGATCTCAGTGAAGGCTGCTGCAGTGGCAGTAGCTCTGGGAGGAATGATGGCCTGGATGTGCCAGTACTGCTTGCCTTGCACAGTGGGAAGTCTTACAGTGAAGCTGATAGAGATCGCAAGTCTGCTGTCAAGGTCGATGCCCACGAGAAACTGAGAGCAGACCCTGGCAAATATAGCAGGCAGGTTTGAATTTGATGGCCAATACGAACGGGCAGTGTTGCCGTTAATTTTGCCAGGCATCTTCACACCTGCATTGGTGACGGGTGAGTGCTTCTCTGTGGTTCAGACCAGCATTTTTCTCTCAGCCAGGCTTGTGTTTCCCCACTCCTGGTGACCATACATTACACTCCATGGGTTTTTGTTGTTTCTACTGAACACTTATCACATACCGTATTGCGAAAGGGAGACGCTGTTCAACTGCTGGGAATCTGTCTCCCAGGATGCCTGCTTCGATCAATAACAGCGTCACTCGACGTATAGTAGATCACCCACTTTGTATTTATCGGCTAGGATAAGGTTTTCTTTGGTTTTTGGTATTGCCATATATGTTTGTGCATCGAAAAAGAGTTGTCTTGTAAGTAAATCCTGATATTAGAGGATTTTTCCTTTTGTCCATACCTTGTAAGAATGTATAAAAGGAATGATGATCTGTAGAGGATATATCACAATCAGGCATGGTTGTACAGACTAAAGTAAACGATATACAAGTTTTTTGGAGTGTAAATATGAATGTTTTTCGTTCTAACTGCTGTGAAAGGTAGCCAAATACTGGAATCTGAATAAACAACTATTCAGAGAAGAATTTGCCTCTTTTTCTCAAGTGTGGGTCAGATTTCAGATTAGAATTCTATGACACATCTAATAGACATTTCATGGCAATGTTCTCAATTTATTTTGCTTTATTTCCCAGATTCGCGACATCTGTATAGATATCTGCATGGCTATTGTATTTTTTACAAGATGCAAACACAGAGACGGATCTTTCGTGCATCCGACAAGAGTTTACACTCTAGAGCCTATAATTCGTGTCTACATTCCTACATATTCACAGGCTATGAAAGAACAATGTACAACCCAATCTGAATGAAATTCCCCAACTGAAGCCCCCCTTCTTCAAGAGAAAGAAAAGGCGCCATCTTCTGCACTAAATTGGTGTTAACAAGATGCTGTATGCTATCTGGAACTGCTCCAGTCTGTCTGCATGCTATTCTCGACAATGGAGACCTCGATGGCGTGCTTTGTCATGATGATGTTGCTGCTGAGATGCTTACGTAATCGCTCAACGCTTTGTGCTGTGATGATTCTGCAGGTGCTCCAGTCATCTGATTCCATGTCTACTCCCAGGTATGTGAAATGGTCCTGAATGCTCAGGCTCAATATGGAGAGGCACCTAGTAAGACGATAGATGGGGATATTGTTAGAACTAGGAGCTAAAGAGACAGGCAGTTGAGCTGCAAGGAAGGTCTGTGCTCTGTAAAAACCTGCAGCAGTTTGGGTCTTCGCCGCTGGCATCACATATCTGTTCCGTTGTGTTGCCATCAGATTCGTCGATCCATACCTAAAATATGAGCAAGGACTAAGCATAACACAGCGATAAAGGCTTCCTGGGAGTTGGAAAGCATATTTACAAGTTTGTGCCCAAGGTATACCTCTCTTGGGAAGTGGTGGTACGTCAGTTTGGAAAGAAAGGAGAAATAAGGTGGCAAATGCGGCACAATATCATGTCCGTGTACCAGTCGAATTGTGTTTGGTACATATTTGGCAAAGTAGGAGGCGAAAACAGCATTGCCAACACGAGGCTGTCCGAAAGTCATGAGTTGAACATTGTCGCTTCCGAGCTTGATCTGTGGATAGAGTTTGAAGGGAAAAATCAATAGCTTACTTAATAACAAGCCTCAAATTTTAGAGTGCTGGTGTTAGGAATTTGATACAAGACCACAAATTTTTTTTTTTTTTTCGAGAAAACGCAAAAGAGTTGCGTTTCATTGCATTGAACAGGAAGACATCAGGGGTACAACCTCCAGAAAGGAGGGACACACACGCGCGCACGCGCACACACACACACACGACCGTCCTCACCAAGTGACTAAGCTAGGTGAGGAGGTGCCCTCAACTACAGACACGCAACGACATTAGGCCTCGCCCAGCCTTGCCTCCAGCCAAAATGGCGAAGCACCGAGACTCGGAGCAACAGGGCAGCATCACTGCCATTGCCAGGCACTTCCAGGGACGAATGCAGCTTCAGGACCGCCCAAGCCGACGTACCTCGCACCCATGTGCCTAGAGAGTCGGCGGGTGAAAAGCAGGGTCTGATTGGAACTGGTGTAGCATTCATTGGGGAGCGCCGGCGCAGGCAAACGTTGCGACCTGCTCCTTGTGTAGCAGTCTACGCCAGAGCGATGCATCGCCAACCACTATCTGCCGCATCAAGTACTCCACTTGCAGCCAAAGCAGCGCCATCAAGAGGGGAACGGCGTTGAGACGCCGCCGCTGCCCAGTCCGGGAGGCCGGACCTAGGATTTCTCCCGGTGCTCGAGGAGGAGGTCTGGTCAGGGTCATGCCAACGCCTCCAAGGAGGTGACGGCACCCTCAGGGCGTCGCCGTTGACAGCGCAGGCCGTCGCCGCGCGGGGATTTCGCCCCGACCCAAGGACGAAGACCTCAGATGCAATGGCAGACCGGGCATGGCGAAGAATCGTCGGAGAAGACCAACACACATGGGGGAAGCCTAGAAACGTTGTCGTCGCAGGAGTGAGCACCGACCAGCGCAGCTCCAGCAGGCCGGCCACCGCCGGGAGCGCGTCCAGCAGGCAGCAGCAGCCACCCGCACCGCGCCGCCGCCGCGCTGGCCCGCAGCCTCCGCCACCAGGATCCGCCGGGGCACAGCGGAGCAGCAACCGTCAAGGTCGCCGCGCGCGTGCTTACTAACCCAGCGGCAACCGCCGGCGGCGGCCGGGAGGGGTGGGAGGAGGGAGAGGGGTGGGTGGGGGCAGAGTGATTGTCGCCGGCCTGGGCGGGCTCGTGCGGCCCAGATCTGGGCGCCCTCAACTCTGCCGCACGCATCAGCTGCCGGCGGCCGCCATGGCAGCGCCACCGCGCACGCAGTCCACGCCATCTCGACCTCCCCGCGAGCAGACGGCCGCCCACCGCGCCACCGCGCGCTCCCGCCGCTCCAGCGCGCCCAGCAGCAGCGCGCGAGCACACGAACGAGGGCCCCGCCGCCGCCGTCCACCGGTGAGGGCTTTGCCCGCCGGCATCCTCCGGCGACGGTGAGGGGAAGGAGGGGAAGGAGGGGAGCCTGGGCGGCGGCTAGGGTTTCGCCTCCCGAGTCGCCCCTGGGAGCGACGCGGGGGCTCTGAAATAATGTTTTTTGACCACAATTTATATAACCTGGAAGGAATTAAGAGTCTGGACATTGAATGTATTTGTGAAACATTGGATCTTGTGTACTTACAGCAAGATCGAGTGCACAGAAGGCAGCCATAGCTCCTCCCATTGAGTGCCCTGTGACTATGACGCCGATATCCCCATATGTCTTTCTTGCCTTGTGCACAGCACTTGTGATAGCTAGACGCAAAATTGTATTATTATAGGAGGAGAAAAATCCACTGTGCACCTTTAACCAGAGTAGTAGAAAGTCTTTTAGCAAAAAGGTGCATCTGCCTTTCCTTTTTTTCTCTTTTAAGAAAGTATAAACAGCTTATTGGCAATAACCTTTGCATTTGGCATGTCTGGATAGCTTAGATCAAGCTGCTTCCATACCAAGTCCTTGATCCAATTCTGCACACTGAGCAAGCAAATTTAAAACATAAAGGACATGTGACTCAAGAAATCAGAATAGTAACACATAAAGCATACTGGTTTAACTGGGAATACTAGAAGCACATGCAATTTGATTAGTACCTGTTCTCTTGAGTCCCTCTGATTGCAACTATTATGGCATTTAGATTGTGATCTACACCGACAAATGCCTGTCACATTGTTCACCCGTAGAATGGCAGGTAAAAGGAAGGCCATATCATGAAAAGTTCAGTACACTTGATAAGAAATATGCCGGAAATTTATGAAAACTTAAAATGGAGTGTGTTAAGATAGGAACCTGCAAGCAGTTCTCCACATCAACAATTAGAGACCTCATCTCGAAGTCCTATTTCAGAAGTAGGTGAATGTATAAATAAGAAAGGACAGATTCTATAAGCTGTATAGTTGACGGGCTGCTGCATATGACACCCAACCAACCATTGGCGAGCATCTTGATAGATCCCTTACTGTTTGAACAGTTATAATTTCAGGAAAACAAATAAGCACCCCTAGATAGATATGAATGGAAGAGAACAGTTGGAGGGTTTCTTACTTGAGTCAAGTCATTGCATCTTGAGCATGTCCATGTATACAAAGCTGTTAAATCTGTCATATACACCTGCAGACAGTATTTAGTTAATTTGACTTAACAAGATTCAAGACAAAGACGAACTAAAGCTCCCATTTAGAAAGCATGACATGCATTTAATGCAATAATGAGAATAAGTTCAACTTACAGCTGAAGCATACTCCACGATGGTCTTAGCAAGAGTATGATCATATATAAGACTCTGATCATGATTCTTGACAGAGAACTCTGCGATAATGAAAACAGTTAGTTTATTAGCATATTAAATGGTGCAATCCTGAACACAAGTGCAGAAGATCAATTTCAGATATAAGAAGATGCCAAAGCAGATGGACAAACATTTACGCCAAGAAAAACAAAATTGAACAAACTGAAAGCAAACAAAATAGATGACCCCAATTGATTTTTGCCTGTCATATATGGCAGCTTTTAGCACAAGTTCACTTTGATTAAGTTTGTGCATATAATATCTGACGGATAGAACAAAAGTAAGTTCTAATTACCAGGAGAGGTTAAGCATGAACGGGTGACAGCCAAGTTAAAAGGGCATAGGTGATTCAATTTCACCTATTCTCATGTCCTGAAGGCTGAAACCACTTATATTCACAAATCACAAATCCACCTAGAGCAAGTGGATAACTGAAAATATTGCAGTGATATGAGTATATGACAGACAAAATCAGTTGGGGGCCTTATCAAATAGGAGTATTAGGTTAAGTGCCATATGTTGTACACGCACTAGATCTGTCAAGCCAAGCTCCAAAAGAATCTATGATGGTCTTTTGCTGTGAATCACTGAACATAATGCTTAGATATGGCAGCTAAAGATCAATTGGGGGCATCATGGGTGATGCTAGTGGAATCCCCAGAGCAAGTCAAGCTCCACAACAGTACAATGGTTCTTTGCCGCCACGGTTCATCAACTCGTTCTTCTTAATTCAACCCTTTTATTTTCTGGACATGACCAACCATATGCAACCAGAACTTCATTTTGTTAACAAGGGACCAGGTAGGTTCCAACTGCCAGCCACCTAATTTCCTTTTCTGTCCACACAAAGATGGTACAACTTTCTCCAGATGTTTGGATACAACCCCCAAGGCCCCAGCCACAACAACAAGAAGTGCATTCAATTAGTTCAGTTGTAGGCCAGTGTGCGGCTAACAGGCAATCAGAACTTGGGGAAATTTACAGGGAGCAGGGCAATTTCGTCAGTGCCATAGCTGCCCCCTTTCTCTCCCTGCATGATTACACCTTTTGAAATGCCTGCGTGTGCACTGATATTCGTCTATGCTTTCTCCAATCATGGCAGTCAGAATGAATTCAGTAAACAGCCCAATCGCTACTGAATTAGTTAACGCGTTCTTGGAATTCATTTGAGGAAAACTTAGAACAGTTACCCAACAAAAAAAAAGAAAGATAATCGAGGTCATACCTCTTCTGCCATGACAAGCCGAGAGCAGCAGGAGCACCAGGGCCAGCACGGCGACCCGCCTCCGTCGCTCCATGAACCTGCAGGGCGCATCTCCATGGATGAGACTACCATCACACCGACAAGAGAGTAGAAAACAGCTGTGGGAGCTGAGTGGGGAATCCTCGGGAGCATCGAAATGCGGAGGCAGAAAATGAAGGATAAATGGGCGGCGTCCAGGACCAAATTGACGAAAACCGAGCTTGGATTTGGCGACTCGTGAGCAGAACAAGAAGGGGAGAGAAGGAGGGAGTTTAGGGGAGGGTGATTTGGTACCTCGGCGGCGGCTGGAAATGGGTAGGAAGAAGGTGAGGTGAGATTGGACTGGAGCTGGAGGGGAGGGGGAGGCAGGAAGCGGATGGCCGTCGCTGAGCTCTATTAATGCGGCGCGGAAAGGACGATGGAAAAGGAGAATCGAAAATTGCTATTGGAGCCTCAGCTCATCTGCTTCCCTATAAATACGGACTAGTAAATTCGAAAAAGAATATATGAATTGCTACTATTTGGGCGTCGAATATGCTCGGGTGCTCGTGTGGAATTCCATTCCAAGATGACATCCGTGGTTCTTTGAAAATTAAAAGTAAAATGCCTATTTTCGAAGCTTTAGATTGTATCTTTGTTTTTGGAGCTTCCCAATATCACCCCATGAAATTTTGCGTGCATCTAGGACACTTGCATTTTCGGCGCTATATATTTTTTTTAAAAAAATTGAACCTTTAAACCATTTATTTTTCTACTTTACTATTTACTACTCCATCCGTTCTATAATATAGTGCATATAGATTTTTAAAAAGGTCACCAAGTTATTAGAGATAACTATTTATGTTACGATACCAAATATACTTTCTTCGTCCAAAAATACTTGTTATCAAAATAGATAAAAAGTGATGTATCTAGAAGTTTTTCTTATCAAAATGGATACCAAATATACTCCCTTCGTTCGAAAACACTTTTTATCCATTTTGATGACAAGTATTTTCGAACGGAGGGAGTATAAAGTATGAAAGTTCATCCTGTAATGAGTCGAATGAAATAAGTTTGGTATTCTAGACGTAAATGTTTTTCTGTGCAAATTTGATCAAAGTTTGTGATGCTTGACTTTAAAAAGAATATAGACACTACATTATCGAACAAAAGGGAGCACTATCCCCGTTCGCAAATATAAGATGTTTTAACCTTTTTCCGAATCAGATGTATGTAGACACATTTTAGTGTGTTTGTTGACTCATTTCGATCTATATGTTATTTATATTAAAATATTTAAAATATACTCCCGCCGTCTCGTAATACGAGTATAAGATTGTGAACGGAGTTTTTTTTAGAGAAATTGTGAACGGAGTTTGTGGATGAGCTCGAGCTGCAAAATGCCGTCGTCAAAAAGAGCGTGCTGCTTGTTAGCTGTTTGCCTCGGCGAGAAGAGAGGAAAGGGAATATGCCCCGGCCCCCCCTCCGCAGCTCCCTTCTCTGATGCCGATCCTCCGGTTATGCTGTTGAGGTCCGGCACGGTAGGGGGCCCCAAACCGTAATCTTTTATCCCGACCGCTAATATGAAAATGAAGAAATACTGGAGGGTTTAGCGTCCCCCGGAGGAATCCAGCGCCTTCACGCCAATGATGAGTTCAACAGCGACCTCTTCAGCCTTTGGTTCTCGGGTGCAAGATGATCGAGCGATCGACCCTAGTGGTTCCCATATTTTATCCTTTTCTTTCCTCAGTGAACGCGTTTTTATCTTCGCGACCAGCAGCCGTGGTTGCTGACACACAAGGACAAGGTTACGGTCTGTCGCGGAAGCGGTTACGTGCGGGGTCTCAACTGAGCTGCGGGGGTGAATTTTCTTGCCGGAAAGGAAGAAAGCCAGCCGGCGGCATCGTGTTACGTAGAGGAACCACGCCGGAGCACGTACGGCCGCGATCGTCGCGCGCGCGCGAGAGAGGAGGATTGGGAGAGGCCGTGCGTTGACTGGACTGGAGGAGGCGAGGCGGCGGTGCAGGGGCGTCCTCGGCACGTGCTGCCGCCGGTGCAGCTGGACCGCCGCGTGGCGCGGAGGAGAAGCGTCGCCGGCTACGGGTGCGGCGCCGCCGCCACGCGTGAATAGAAATGCGATTAATAACTGGTTGCACCAAGATTCGGCCACTCGGGACCGGTGCCCGCAGTGACATGGCTTGGATCGGGGAGTATCTACAACCACAGCTAGCAAAATCCGCACTCAAACAATCGTTTCAACAATCAGATACACCATTCGCAAATCATCAAATCCATATGATTACTAGCAACATAAAACTAGTCCAAATTTCCGTCGGTGACCGTCCTTGTTGTTACGGCCGTGTCCATGTCCAGCGGCCGGATGCGCCCCTTGAAGTGTTGTTGCAGTCGCCGGTGAGGTAGAATAGGACATGGGACACGCACCGGCTCACGGGGCTCGAGGTGTCGCTGTCTCCCATGCCCTACTCTTTCTCATCGGAGTCCATGCCTCGCACGTCGTCGGTGGATGTGAGTCCGCCATGTCGTAGCCAGCCACGTCCACCACGCCCTGGTGCGGGGAAAGGGGTTGTTGGGCACCATACGCGGGGACTTAGAGTGCGACTCGGCCTTGCCGACATCTGCCGCGGCCTCCCACGCCCGCTGCCTCGCATGATAGGCACGCCATGACATATTTGCTTCAGAAGTGAAGTGACTGTGCACCTACGACTTGGCTCACCAACAGAGGGGCTACGCATCTGCCACGGCGTTCGAGCGCCAAACGGACTGCACCGGCTCCAGTGAGGCAGCGACGACTGCCTTGAGGCCGAATCCATGCGCCATTTGGTCGGGCGCAATAGATTCCTGCCAGATGGAGTCTCAGCGTTGCCGTCGAGCGGACCCTCCCCCAGTGGCGGAACACAAGGCAAACGGTCATCTCCTCCTCGAGGCTGTGTGGACGAGCTCCGGGGAAGCTTCGTGGGCGGAAGGTGGTGGACTAGAGAGGAGTGAAGTCGGGTCAAATGCGGCTAGGTTTTCGTCTGGAGTCATGTGGGTTGGGTGAGCCACCGTAGGCCGGATCCTACATGGCGAACGTGTCTGGGCGTCCCCATATCCACCCCGGATATGACCTGGATATGGGGAGTGTCGTTCAATCCGTGCGTTTTGTTGGAAATATGCTCTAGAGGCAATAATAAAATGGTTATTATTATATTTCCTTATTCATGATAATTGTCTATTGTTCATGCTATAATTGTATTATCCGGAAATCGTGATACATGTGTGAATACATAGACCACAACATGTCCCTAGTGAGCCTCTAGTTGACTAGCTCGTTGATCAACAGATGGTCATGGTTTCCAGACTATGGACATTGGATGTCATTGATAACGGGATCACATCGTTAGGAGAATATGTGATGGACAAGACCCAATCCTAAGCATAGCGCAAGATCGTGTAGTTCGTTGATCAACAGATGGTCATGGTTTCCAGACTATGAACATTGGATGTCATTGATAACGGGATCACATCGTTAGGAGAATGATGTGATGGACAAGACCCAATCCTAAGCATAGCGCAAGATCGTGTAGTTCGTCTGCTAAAGCTTTTCTAATGTCAAGTATCTTTTCCTTAGACCATGAGATTGTGCAACTTCCGGATACTGTAGGAATACTTTGGGTGTGCCAAACGTCACAACGTAACTGGGTGGCTATAAAGGTGCACTACAGTTATCTCCGAAAGTGTCTGTTGGGTTGACACGAATCGAGACTGGGATTTGTCACTCCGTATGACGGAGAGGTATCTCTGGGCCCACTCGGTAAGACATCATCGTAATGAGCTCAATGTGACTAAGGGTTGATCACGGGATGATGTGTTGCGGAACGAGTAAAGTGACTTGACGGTAACGAGATTGAACGAGGTATTGGGATACCGACGATCGAATCTCAGGCAAGTAACGTACCGATTGACAAAGGGAATTGTATACGGGATTGCTTGAATCCTCGACATCGTGGTTCATCCGATGAGATCATCGTGGAACATGTGGGAGCCAACATGGGTATCCAGATCCCGCTGTTGGTTATTGGCCGGAGAGTTGTCTCGGTCATGTCTGCATGGTTCCCGAACCCGTAGGGTCTACGCACTTAAGGTTCAATGACGCTAGGGTTATTAGGAAGATTTGTATGTGATTAACGAATGTTGTTCGGAGTCCCGGATGAGATCCCGGACGTCATGAGGAGTTCCGGAATAGTCCGGAGGTGAAGATTTATATATGGGAAGTCATCATACGGTCAACGAAAATATTTGGGGGTATGCCGGTATTGTAGCGGGACCACCGGAGGGGTTCCGGGGGTCCGCCGGGAGGGTCCACCTGCCCCGGAGGGCCTTATGGGCTGTAGGTGGAAGGGAACCAGCCCCTAGTGGGCTGGGCGCCATCCCACCCGAGGGCCCATGCGCCTAGGGTTTGGGGGGAACCCTAAAGGGGGGCGCCACCCTTTCTTGGGGGGCAAGCCCCCTCCCCCCTTGGCCGCCGCCCCCCCTCTAAATCTCATCTAGAGGGGCCGGCCCCCCTTCCCCTTTCTCCCTATAAATATAGGGGCGAGGGGAGGGCTGCAGCACCACATCCAAGGCGCAGCCCCTCCCCTCCCCAACACCTCTCCTCCTCCGCGTGAGCTTGGCGAAGCCCTGCCGGAGAACTGCCACTCCATCACCACCACGTCATCGTGCTGCTATTGGAGCCATCTTTCTCAACCTCTCCCTCCTCCTTGCTGGATCAAGGCGCGGGAGATGTCACCGGGCTGCACGTGTGTTGAACGCGGAGGCACCGTTGTTCAGTGCTTAGATCGGTTTCGGCCGCGATCTGAATCGCTACGTGTACGACTCCTCCAACCGCGTTCTTGCAACGCTTCCGACTCGCGATCTTCAAGGGTATGAAGATGGCTCCCCTCTCTCTCGTTGCTAGTTACTCCATAGATTGATCTTGGTGATGCGTAGAATTTTTTTAATTTCTGCAATGATCCCCAACAGTGGCATCATGAGCTAGGTCTATGCGTAGTTTCTATGCATGAGTAGAACACAAGT